ATATCAACCATTTTCTGCCACACATCATGTTTAGAGACGGTCTCTCTACCTTTGTGTAGATGACTTCCTTTAATCCTCTTTCAATCCACATGTCCTCCCTATCCCTTGACCTGACATATTGACCCTGTTGTATTGAGCCATGTGTTTGTGTAGAGGTTGTTCAGTTTACCCAATATACAAGTTTGTGCATTTCTCAGTGAAATTGGACAGCATACACTAGATTGCTTTTCTTGTGTTTGGACATGCAGTCTTTAGGATAGAATAGTATCTGTCTTAATGTGTATGAGGGTGGGTTTGCGGTGGCAATGGGGATTGGACCTAAATGCAGACAGAATAGTCAGACCGGTAAGTTTTTATTTTTAAATTATTTATTGCAGCAAAAAATATTTAGGTCTTGGTAGGTGGGCCTCTACACAGGCAAACAGGTAACAGGCAGATTTACTGTGTATACATTGCAGAGCAGCTAACTAGTGAAGCTCACATTTGGAAGTTCACTGCAGAAATGTAATGAGAGAAAAGAGCAAATGGACACCGACCTACCTAAATGTCTAAACCCAATATCTTAAATACGATGGTGATATTACAAAGGAGCATTATATCAGTTATTGTGCAATCATTCACTAGGCTTGTGTCCTTTTCTGTCATTGTGCATCCATGTTGGAGTGTGATTGTCACTCCATGGTATCAAAGTGGGGACATCTGTCATTATCTGACTGCAAACAGTGGACCCCACTTGTATAATCGAACTGTAGACCTTCTTCTCTGTAACTTGCGTGAACCTTTACATTTATTTCACTATCATTACACAGACCATTTCACATCTTATTTTCATGTGATTTAAATAAAAATAAGATATAAGTACCTTAATGTCAATTACTCAATTTGTTAATTTGTTTTGTCTGTTGCTTTACTGACTTGTATCATGATAGGTGGTCATTGTGTTCCAGCACTGTGCACCCCACTACATCCCTTCATTCAAAAAGCAAAAAGTGCCAACCTTGCTGATGCCAATGAACTTAAAATATAAAAACACTACAACAGAGAGCGATGCTAAATTTAAGCATCACACATTCACAACTATCCAGGTAGCAAACACCGGGCCTCATGCAAGAACTTTATCATATTCTTATGTTAACTTGTACAGTGGCTCATACGAGTGTGCCACGTCAGATTCAGGAAACGCTGCGTAACACGATGAATCGCTTCTGTGTGCAATTGTGTGCAATTGTGTGCATGTTCATGAGAATAGTAAATTAGCACCATTACCGCCCCAATTATACCAAATAAGGCTATGTGTCCTGCCCCATATGTCATGGAGTGTTCATTCATGAAAAAGACATAGAAGATAAAACAAACTTTACACGAGACTGAAGTCCTGCTTTCGGAGACCCATAAAGGAAGGTCTATCCTTTTTAACAGTGTCAGCAGTGGAATTAAGGCAATAGGGGTGGACTGGTGTGTCTGTCTGCAGAAGCACAGCTCGTGGTAATCTAAATCGAGACAACAACCATTCACCTGTCTCTGCCAATATATCACCACACTGTCACTCTCTTTCGACGGTCTGACTTGTTAAGTCATCCAAAAGTTTTCACCTCATCTGGCATTATTAAATACAGCGACAAATTATCCTTCAATTAGTGTATTATTTAAGTTTGTTTTGATATTCTAGTGTTATTATAATCGCCACATGAATTGCAGGTCAAACAGGATAACAACTTTATTTTGAAGTGTAATTTATATATAATTTTTAAACTCAAAATTACTTCCTGTAACGTGCATCAACAGACAAATTGCATTCTTATGAGTACATTGAGGATACAAGTACAATGTAAAACTGAGTTTTTTTCTGGGACTGAACAATTTTAAAAGCACAGTGTGTTAGAATTGAGGCTAATCTGCACCTGTTGAATTCATACTCCAAAACAGTAGGGGGGCAGCCTATTATATATCAGGGTGTAACTGCTGCTAACTGCTTATAGCTATATCGCCCCAGTTTTTGCATTCTTGCATTGGCTGTCTGTATATTTAAAGAGTGATTTTGAATTTGGTTAAACTTTTTTTAACTTTATTTATTTTATTTTTGAGGCAAGACATCAGCTGGCCCCTTTCTGTATATCTGACTATCGCCGCTTGAGGTACAAAGTGATATTATGAGGCAGGATGAGCTGGGGATAGCTCATTAGCATGCTACCTTCAGAAGATATCTCAGTACATACTCATCTTTGACATAACGTCAAACGATATGATATCACTGCTGACCATTTTGTTTCTTAGCATATCTGGATTGTATTTCTTTTTAGATTTTAAAATACGTCTTATCCCCCTGCTTTCTGGGCACCCCCCCAATAGTCTTAAAGCTTGCCTGCGGCTGCAAGCCATTCACACTATGGAGGAGTGTGAAAAGGCAACGTCAGTGAGTCCTTAAAATCCCATCGCCAGTCTGCAGGGGAAGTGCTAAGTATGAACTTTAATAGTCACAAACCTGCAGGTCCCCTCTTGGCTAAAATTAAAATCAATTTAGACATGATTGTAGCAAAATGGCTGATGTTGGCTTGCCGTGGATAGTATTGCAGGTACACACACACACACGCACGCACGCACGCACGCACGCACGCACGCACGCACGCACGCACGCACGCACGCACGCACGCACGCACACAACTTACTGAGCTGTTTTCTTCCCATTGTGTGCTCTCCCCCCTCTTTCTCTGTCTCTCTCTCTCTCTCTCTCTCTTCATCATGATAACAACAGAGTTGAAGACTCTTGAAACACTCAATTTGAATATCAAATTGGTTGCGTGTGCGTGAGTGTGTGTGTCTGTGTGGGCAGGGGAGTTTTGGGCAGCTATTGACATTTTTGGTAAGACTGTTTGTTCACCTTTTTGTGTGTGTGTGTGTGTGTGTACAGCGACTGTACATAGTTTTTAGGTGCATATGTGTGTATGCATATGCAACATTTCACGTTGTATGGTTAAAGTGTGTTAAAGTGTTGTGTGTGTGTGTGTTTGTGTGTGTGTGTGTGTCTGTGTGTGTGTGGATTTGTGGATTTGTGTTTGCGTGTGGGTGGATTTGTTGTTTGAGGTAAGGTGCAAGGATGAAAGATCTTTTTTTTTCCCTGTGACTTGTTCATGAACTCTCCGGGCTCCTGATGGGCACTGAGCCTGAGTGCACTCAGACATCTTATTGGTTGTTTTTGAATGACGAATGATGAAAATAAAACTATTTAATTTGAACGAAGAAATTTATAATTTTGTGTTATTAAAAAAGGATTTTCTCTCCTTGGCAGAAACAGGAGCAATGTTAATAGCCTACTGTCTATGGCTATAGCACTGTGTAAGGTTCCCTATAATGAACATGCACATTAGGGTGACTGTAGTAATACAGGAGATGACAGTAGAAGAGCATAGCGGTCTAAGGCTGTGGATATCTGTAAATGGATGTTGATGGTAGTTCAGCAGGTGCTTTGCCAAATTACTAACATTGCCTCCTTTATAAACAATCGACATGGCAGCAGGTGATCATGATCACCTTCAGAAAGAACAATCATTTACAACAGATCTTATCAATATTCTTTTCTACTATTGGCACAGCTAAGGTTGTATTTATGCAGAGGTGGCACAGTGCAATAACACAACACAACATAGGATAATGCAACGCAGCGTATTGTAATCTAATGGCTATTGCCACTGTAACCCTATATGTATGTTGTTTTTCTGAATTAGTTATAAGTTATTTGGGATGACACAAAAGTGTGCGAATGTGGAGGAGAGATTGGGGCAGGATGAATATATAGTAGGAAGAAAACAGCATCTGCAGGTAGACTGGATGTCTGCCTGAGGTGCCTGGGTCAGGTGATAAGCAGGAGCAGGAAACTATAGTAGTCTCTAGAGGACAGGTGAGGAATGGCAGATATGGAACAAAGGGGACGTTAGGAGGATGATGCAGATGAGTGTATGACAGGGATGAGCAGGCAGAGACACAAGTGCAAAGGAGTACCAAAATTGCACCGCGCCACCTGATCTGCATAAAAAAAAAAGCGCTTTACCAAACCAAAGAATTGATGAATGACCAATGAAAAAGTTCTTGCAACTGGGTTAGTATAACTGCTGGATTTGCATGTAGAGGTCTTACACTTACTATAAGTGAGCTATGGGTTTATGTTTAACAATAAACCAACTCATTTCAGTAGTCCTCTTCAACTTGTAATGTAATATGTAGGCCATGGTTATCTCTCGCATCAACTCGCATCGACTATTGCAATGCCCTCCTAGCAGGTCTTCCAGCTTGTGCAATGAAACCCTTACAAATGGTTCAGAATGCAGCAGCGCGTCTGGTTTTTGATCAGCCCAAAAGGACTCATGTCACTCCATTACTCAGTGACCTCCACTGGCTCCCCGTGGCCTCCAGAATCAAATTCAAGTCACTAATGCTTGCATACAGAGTGACTACTGGGTCTGCACCCATCTACCTAAACTCCATAATACAAACTTACGTTCCTTCGCGGCCGCTACGCTCCTCCAACGAATGCCGCCTGGCTCTGCCATCCCTTCACACAAAGCAATCTCAGTCCCAGCTGTTTTCATCTGTGACACCTCGATGGTGGAACGAGCTACCACACGCCATCAGAGCAGGGGCGTCCCTCTCTAACTTCAAGAAGCTCTTGAAAACTCATCTCTTCTGAGAACACTTCCTCTTATAACACCTCTAACTCCTAACCTCTAACATGCACTTCCTGTGCTCTTCTTCTTCTATCCCCTACAATAATCTTGTATTGATTGCACTTTTTGTTAACTCTTACTTCCTTCCCTAGGTATCTACCCCATTGATGTGATATGTACTGTGAGCTCTTACTAGAATGTATTGTCAGTTGTAGATCTGTAGTTAATGCTCTGTTGATGTTTGTATGTTGTTCCTCAAATGTAAGTCGCTTTGGATAAAAGCGTCTGCCAAATGAGTAAATGTAATGTAATGTGTGTGTGTGTGTGTGTGTGTGTGTTTAGTTTGCACAGGGCGAGTACAACTCCAGTGGGTTTGACCTAAATGTGATGCCAGTTTGGATCAACAACATCACTGGTAATGGAGTAGTGGTCAGCATCATTGATGATGGTGAGTCTAACACACACACACACACACACACACACACACACACACACACACACACACACACACACACACACACACTCTTATTTTCAGACTGATTAGATCTTTTTAAGTAGGTACACAAGTACATAATGCCCATTAAACACTGTAGATTGATTATGCCATGATAGATTTTCTAAAATAAATTAAAATAAAATAAATTAAACACAAAATGATTACATTTAGTAGTTTGTAACAGGACTAATGCTTTGGTTCTTTCTGGGTGTGTACTAGTTGGAAGTCTCATTTTCTACTTAACACAATAAGACCGGGAGCAGACATCCAAAATATTTGGAAAAAATGTATTATAATCAGAAAATTGTATAATGCAATTTTCATATGCGCAAAGGTTTGCGACAGGCTGTGGTGTGCGCTGTGCAAAAATAGATTTTAGATTGAAGAAGTTTGTAGTGATAAAGCTGAACTCTGGCCCTCACCGGAGAGGGTGAATGATTTATGCTTGCCCCCACCACCACCACCTTCACCACCACCGTCATCTTCGTCTCAGTCACCTTCGTCTCAGTCACGCCACAATGAGAATTCATTTCTCTCTGATTGCTGGGATATCTGGCAACAAGGGAAATGAGAGAGCGGCATCTTATGGGCTCATTCATCAAGAACTAATTGAAGCCTCACTAGTCTCAAGTGCTGATAGAGCTGGAGTAGAGCTGGAGTGTGCCGTTTTGTATGTGCATGTACACGTGACTCTGCAGCATGTGTGTGAAAGTCCACTTTCACACACAAAAATGTCACATAAAAGTGTCATTATTCTAAGAAATGGCATATTTTGTGTGTGTGTGTTTTTGTCCACCTGCAGCCATGCGCGGCTCATCTGCTTGCGTGCGTGTTGATTGTTACTTCACTGTCTGTTTTTGATGAAAGATGCTGCCATTATAGTGGACTGCTTTTTTGGACAGAAGGTGTTCTCTTTGCTCCGCATCCCTCTGCATACAGACAGCTTCTCACTATGTGTGGGGAGGGCGGTGGGTTTTGGGTGGCAATGGGTGGATATAGAATGAGCAAGCAAGTGAGAGAGAGAGAGAGAAAGAGAGAAATTAAATAGAGGAAGGATATAGAGGGAAATGTCAGGAGAAAGCAAGAGCAAAAAGGATTCAAAGAGGGGGCGAGTGTGTGTGTGTTAATGTATTTGTGTGTGTGTGTGTGTGTGTGTGTGTATGAGACAGAGAGTATTAGACTTGCACCACTGAATCTCCTATCCTCTGGGGCTATTGTACTCTGCTCCACCTCTCTGTATTGATTCCACCGGGCAAGAGCTCCCTCACTCTTTCTCTTTTTCTCTCCTTCTCTTTCTTTCTTTTTTTCTTTCTCTCATTTTCCTGGTCTTTTCCTCCTATTTTTTCCTGTTCCCTCTTTGTTAACTAGCAGGTGACTTCTTCCTCTGGCCACCGTTTTTTCCCCTCCCCTCCCTCCCTCCCTCCCCTCTCAGTCAGTCTGCAACTCACAGCTGAAGGATCATGTACATGCTCACCTTTAGCCACCTTTCAATCGATGCCTATTGATTTTGATATCACAATGAAATAAATTATTTTTCTTTGAGTGAAAAGGCCTCCTCCTCCTTCTCTTCCTCCTCCTCATGCACCCTCCTTCCCTATCTCCATCCTTCAATCCAATCCCTCTGTTTTAGAGGTAATGTAACTGGCGTCTGAGGCCGGCCCTCAACAAGCGTTAAATCACATTCCCTGTGCCACCTTCACTTTGTATTTGTGTGTTAGGATGTGCTTCTGCCTATTCTCTCACAGTTGCACCATAGACATACTTGCATTATGTTTCTTTAATTACGGTGCTTCATGGACCTCAGCACTGCTAATGCCATTCAGTTGATCAATCTGCATTCATTTTGATTGATTTTCAACCAGTTGTGGAAGTGTCAAATAAAAAAGGCAAGATTTCATTTAGGGTTGTGACAATCTAGGGTTCTCAGCTATGACACATAAGACACATTAGTAGGGAGAAAGTTTAACATTGTATTATCATTTTGTATCAGCGGACACAGCATCATTTAAGCTAAACCTGCCTGTGCACACAGTGTGGACCCTGACCAATTGTGAAAAACCACACTAACTTTTATAGTAACAAATGAAGCAGAGCTGTAATGATTAGTCAATTAACAGATTAGTCGAGCGACAGAAAATGACTCTGCAAAAGGCAGTGCCAAAAATGTTATAGTTCCTGGTTCTCAGATGTGAGAATCTGTTGCTTTTGGTTGTCTTGTTTTGTTGTTAGTCAGACAAGACAAGACATTTGATGCTGTCACCTTGGACTCTGAGATATATTTATGTTTTAAAGACCAAACGATTTATCTTGAAAATGAACAGCAACACCATGCTGGGAAGCTTTCCTGCATACATGCTCCTGGGATGCTACTTTTTTCAACAACGAGTAACTGCATTAAGGAATCTAGGACACCCAGAGACCATATATGGCAGTGGCCGACAATAGGCGGCCCGCGGGCCAGATTGCTTTGATAGCAGAAAAATAAAAAATAAATTAATTGATAACGGCTGCTGAAATAGATCTCAGTCATGACAGCAACAGTTACTCACATAACCACTTCCTCTTAAGTGATTGTGCCTCTAAAATAAAAGCGCAAGAACGTATTTTGCAGCAATGCTTCATGTCAAGTTTATTAAGAGCTTTTACTTTGAAGAGTTCTGAAGGAAATTCAAAAGAGTCTTTGGCCTGCTTGACACACCTCTGAAAAAGCCGTCAGTAAACGTGTGATTGGATTCCCCTGAATTTTCTGAGGGAAATGAAAATAATTGTCCACAGGTTTATGAATGCGGATCAAACACTGGAACGCGCACACACTGCAGCACATGCTTTATGTGAGCAAAAGCGTATTCAATTTGTTTAACAAGAGAGAAGAAATATCCACAATAAGATGGAATCGATCTTACAACCTACCCGTCGGGAGACTGAGCTAAATGAGAACATGAAGTCATGCGGTTTGTTCTGGCCCGCCATATAACGGCTTGGAAAAATTTGGCCTGATGCCAGACTTATTTACCGACCCCTGATATATGGCATTTAGGGGTTTGTATGGGTGTAAGTGTGCATGTTTGACAAAAACTAACTTTACTTGTCGATAGGGGCAGTTCCTACTAGTGTTGTCAAAAATATAGATTTTTTGATACATATCGATTCTGAATATTGTAAACAGTTTTAATACTCATTTTCCACAATATGAGTACTGAAAATGCACTCTTCTCTTCTCTTCTCTTCTCCCCTCCTCTCAGTCATAGTGCTGTCTTTTCGTCACTGTTCTTCACTCCAGTTGATTCACTTTTTTTCTTCCTTTTCCACTTGTTATGTTTTCTTCCTGCAAGAGTTTTGACAAACCCCGCCCTACTGTGCTCTGATTGGCTAGTACCCGTCAAGCGCACGCATCCTTGGATGCTAGCTGTGGGTGTGGCAAGTCCCGCCTTGCTGTGCTGTGATCGGCTACTCATTGACACAACTAATCTTAAAGATAATGTACAATATATAAATGTTTTAAATCTTTATATCTACAGAGGAAGTGCAACTCAATTTAAGCCTTGTAAATATGACATTTGCTTCTCAGCAAATAGTGTATTTATAACCATAACTTTTTTCATTGAACATTACACTCAGTCCTGAACCAAATAACAAAATAGGTAAGTTGATTCAAAATTCATGTGGCATGTGACAAACCAGAATATATATTGCATCTCCAGTGTAAAGGATACCTCTGACTTTGGATTGCTGCGACACCCAGACTCACGCTGAGAGTCCCAGACTTAACTCCATTTGGGTAGCTGTAGTGATGGTCCACGGTTGCTGCATTTTGTTTTGAATGATACACACAGGGGGAAACTGACACAACCTCGATTAAATGACTAAATTTAATTACAAAATTATCTAATCAACTAATCAAATTTAAGTGAAGTTAATAGTACTGTGCGTTAAGCAGAACAGCATCAGTTAATTCACTTCTGACCTCGAAAATCAATATTTTTCAAGGTATTGTATCGAAGTAAGAAATTCCAGAATCGTGACAACACTAGTTCCTACACAAATATTTAGAACTTGTTCTATGCATGTTATCATAAATGGGGTCTTAGGACCCTTTCATAGCAGGAATAAAAGACGGCTGCCACATACAGTGTACATCTGCATACGTAAACAGTCATTAGGCGTCGTCCACAGATTATGACCAGTGAGTGAGTTAAAGATATAGATTCATCAGTGAAATGGCATCCACCCTCCACCCACCTTGTCCCAGAGCAGCCTCACAGTGTCCCTGTCACCCTGCTATCAACACTGGCCTCCATCCCTCCTGGCTGGGCGGCCCAAAAGCACTCCAATATCGATCGGCGCTTACGCCATTGTCATTACATGTCATTGGTACACAGAGACACAAATTAGACTGGGGAGGGGAATAAAAGGATGGATGGATGGAGATGGGGGGGGAGAAAGAGAGAGAAGGAGAGGAGGGAGGGTATACACAAGCAAGACTGAGCAGTGTCAAAGATAATTGAATGAGCTCAGTGAGTAGAGATAGCTTTATTGCAGGACTGTTTTATGTCACACTGATTTGCAAAGAGCATGAAAATGCTCCAAATATGCTATCTTTTCAGAGTTTAAATAGTATGTAGGAAATACACATCAATTTGAGCCAATCATGTATCCTCTCTACCTCTCTTTACTGCATTCTAGACTTCCTACAGTTTCTCTTTTATGTCTTAGAAATTACAGTAAGTCGAAACTGGTGGGATTTTGTAGATTTTGTATAGCCTTGAAAAGCTGTCCACTAAGGGAATAATGTGAGCCCAATATGGATGCAGAGCTGTATTTATGTTGTCATACTGTACGTATTTATCTGTTGATGTAGGAGGTGTGATAAAACATTTTATGGCTGATTATGAAAGCTTACGTAGCTGCTGTAAGAGGTAGAGCTGTATTTTTGATATTCTACAGCCTCAGCT